CACAATTGATTTTTTTTGCCTTTGCTTCTCAACCAAAGCAGATGTAACCGCTTGCTAACACTCTGGTTTACTGCAATTTTTTCTCCCTTTCTTATCCCCCTCAGGTGACCGATCTAATTTTTTGTTGCTGTAATGATAGTCTTACACAAATTTGACTATCAGAATATCAACCTCCGTTCTGGCGATGGCAACTCCGGTCTAGCCTTATAGGTAATTCCTACCCCACGCTTGTCTTTGAGTATATTGGCTGTTGTGGCTTTTCCCTGCTCCTTGCAAAGGATGGATCTCTACCTTGGTTCATAAACATTGTTGCCTTTCTCAGTTTGGTTGTATTTACTGACAGCTGCTTTCCCTGACCAACCCCTTTGGCCTAACCAAGCCATTCAACATCTGGGTATGTGAAGGTTGGGCAAGTAGGACTTGTTCTGTATAGAGTTATCAGCAAGAGGGTGTGTTGAGATAGTCTATTAGCATTTCCCTATGTTGTATGCTTCTAACCTATACACCCACAACTTAGCCTATATTGTACATGTATATAGCCTAGTTGTGCCCTTGGTGATTCCACTTCCTTACTGAATGATAATTACATCTTGACTCAATGTGCTGGACCATGTCCATGACATCTCGTCATCTCTCTTAGATCTTGTGTCACCTATGTTACCCTCAACACAGCTTCACCCCGAAGTAACGCGGAGACTGCAATGCGGCCTCGACTTTCATTTCATTCTTGATCGAAGGCTTGTACGCTCAAGCGATCTCCAATGCATTTTTCATCTTTTGACTATCAATCCGGTCCTCCGGAGCCAGCAGACCGGGACAGTTTTGAAACAAAAAAGTTAATATGAATTGATATGAAATGTTAATGAGATGAAAGTCAACTAGTTTTCTCACCAAATTGGTAGAGATCAAGAGATAAGGTCAGCACAAGGGGTATGATGGATGGCTGAAGTGAGGACAAGATCAGTTGTAGTTGGTGTTGATGTGAGTGGATCAGGAGGGGAATGAACAAAAGAAGAGTAACTAAAGTTGGAGATCAAAGTGGGGGGGGGAATATTTGGAGAAGGTTCATGAGGTTTTTTGAGGAGAAATGCCCAAGTAGATGGAGGCAATTGTACTACTGTCAAAATTGTAGTTGATGATTTTTGGAACGCGGGAGGCTGCTGAAGAAGAGAGTTGGAGGGGTATCTATATGTGTGTGGGAGCAGTGTTGAAATAGAGTTCATCAGAGATGTTCTAGGTTTCATGAAGGTAGCAGAGTGTAGGCAGAGAGCATATAAATGGAGTCAAGCAGAAGGTAAAAAAGAAAAATAGAAATGAGAAATGAAATGAGAAATGAGATGAATGAAGCATGGAGAGGAGAATGTGAATGCAGGAAGAATTCCAAGATAAAGAGCTTGATTTTTAGCCATGAGATTCAGGTACGATACCTCTTTCCTTTTCTTCAATGTCTAGATACTAAAAAAAAAAATGATTTGATTTACCCTATCAGTGTATTTCCCCAAGATCTAAGGCACTCCTTAACTGTCCTACAGGGAAAATTCATACCTTACTTAGGGCCTGTACCATAGGACATGAGAATTCAATTTCCCAAAATTTATCTTGCTCAAAATTTTATATTATCAAAATTGACCATCACTAGAAGCTAGTCTTTGGCATGAAAGTGAAGAATTCCAACACCAGATCTCTCCGATTGTTCCCAGGTTTTGTGTAGAGGATGGAAAAAATGCCCAGTTTTGAAAATTGAACCCTATGGTACAGGCCCTTAGATTAATCCAATGTCTTTGTTTCTTATTTGGAAAATATTCAAATCAGAGACACTTTCTCCATATATGAGAAATATGCAAATGAGTTAACTGACCCAAAGTGTGATCTTTGATATCTCAAGGAATGTTGGCCCACTTGCAAAAAAGCAGGACCCTGGCTTGTTTCTTAAATTCTGTCAACAGCCATACATACTAAAAAGGATGAAAGAAAATCTTTGAAGATAGCTGATTGTTGGGCTGTTTGTGTTATCTTTGCTGCTCTTGAACAAGTTTTTTTTTTTGCAGATGAACAAACCTAATTTGCTTTGATCATGGGATTTTTCCTTTCATTAGGGGAGCCTCCCAGTAAACTTTTTTAACTGCTATTTCTCCATGCTGAGGAAATGGAATCGACAAACTCAGGATTATTGAATGACTCAAGTTTGTATGAAGAATTCATCATCAGTAGTCTTTCAGTTATGTGTCGCCGCCCGGTCCGGCCCGTCCGTGGCAGATGGGTAAACAATTCCCTATATCTTTCTCTTTCAAAAATGGCATCAACTTTCATCGCAGTGTGCCATGCCGACCAACGTGACATTGTGTGATGCAACAATGTTGCTGTATGTACCCCATAAGACCCCATCATCATATGTCATCGCCTGTTGTGATTGCAAAAAAAATGCATACAATTCCGGATTCCCCGCTCCAACGGAAGACTGAGGGACTTGTCCGTTCATGTGATCAGGAGTCAGTGCACAAAATTTTCATTTACGCAACTGTGCACTGGGGCCAGGACAGTAAGTAGACAGAGATTTCAGTGTGGAACAAATTGTTGCACAGTTCCCAATAAGCTAGTTATAGTGTGCAAGGTACATCTGATCTATGTAGCTTGTATGCTTGAGGAAATGCAAGAAAAAGATTGGCCAATAGCTGATCATTTCTTCATGTGAAATTGAGTGAGCATGAAAAAACTGCAGAAATTTTGGCAAGATATGAGCATGAGGAATAGGGGGGCAAAATCTTGGAAGAAAAAAAAAAGTAACTTCAATGTAACAGACCATTTGATTTGATGATGGGGGAGATGCTATCTACTTGAATTTCATGCAGCTGGAATGAACATTTAGATGTAGGCACAAAGTTCTCTAAGCATCAACTCATAAGTTACTTGAATTAGAGAGTCCTGAGGTTTGCCAGATTGCATTGTACAAATCCTGGTTCATGGCCCCTCCTTCAGTCAAGCATTCTATAGCCACAGGGTATTGGGTTTGAAAAAGTATGGGGTGTGATCGGCCTGGTGGAATTCTTATAGCCGCATGCCGAGGTATCCCATTCCACACCATGATACTGTGAGGTCGTTGATTGTGGTATGCAGTAACACTGTCAGGTAATCTGTGGTGGAAGATTCTGTATTTCACTCCAAAATAATCAATAGTTTTTTCACCAAATACTGTAGCCAACAGGATGCTTGCAACCATCGACATAAAGATCAACTTCATGATGTGCTGAGTGCTTCTGCTTATCTTTGAATTGGTCTTTACGGATTTGCTCTCCAAGAAAAGGATTGATGAAAGCTTGGTGGGTGTTGTTGCAACTGTGTGGAGGCAGAAATTTGCTCATCAGCAATCATCATTCTCATCTACATTAAGGACACTGGGAATTAACTAGTGGAAGTTGAGAAACCAAATAACGAGCCATCAACACAGGTGGGATGGAGTCTACAACTGCACAACTACTGAAGCAATCAAAATTACAAGATCTACCTGCTGTTCTTGTCCAGAAGGGAGCAAATGTGTTGATGGCAGCTGAAGTAGTGCTGTAAGGAAAACAGGAACCACTGGAGGAAGGGCCCCTTTTATAGACATTTCAGTCACTCTTGGGTGCTCAATTGTGGACACGTTTTGTTAGAGAGTGTTTGCTAGGTTGTGTTGGGTAGCAGGCGTAAGTTACACAAGTCCCTCGGCTTAAGTTAAAGTTCGGTTGGCTGGAATTGTTGGTTTGACTTTACAAGACACTCTCATTTTTGCTGAGGACTGGTGGAGACAGTTCAAGTTTGCGATCGAGCTTAACCGAACTTAACACAAGTCCCCCTGGTGGGAGGCTCGCTGGTGTAACTGGCCCGCAGGGAGGGACTTGAAACTTAAAACGCATTTGCGGTGTGACCCAGAAGCACCGTTTTGGTGGGAGCAACCTTCCTTGCCCCACCACTCATTCATTATAATGCCATTTTTTTCTCAATTCTAGTAGATGAAAGATCTGCATAATCTTGATTTTCCTATATTTTATTTATTTTGAAAAGGTGTGTGATTCTATTTGAAAATAGGCAATGAAGTTCATGATTTTGAACTTTAATTTGCAAATTTGGCAGAGAGGCTCGAGCGCAATCTCAGTATAAGCATATTTTATGCCTGCAAAATGAGAACTTGTCTTTTTTCTGTTTGTTCTTTTAAAAAAGATTGGTATGGAAATAAAAATATGAAAAAATACAGAAAGATCAAGATGATGTCATAGAACCAGAAAAAAAGCACAAAGGAATTTTGAGAACAATAACATCAAAAACAGAGCGGAAAATACAAAAAAGAACCAGCTTAACTAAGCCTCTCGTGACGAGAGTTGTGTGCGGGCAGGTCTGGGCGGCAGCCCAGTCTCGTCAGAGAGGCTTACATTTTATTACTCAAAGCCCGCGTGAGGCAGGCATGATTTTGAGGTTCTTTTTTGTATTTTCCGCTCTGTTTTTGATGTTATTGTTCTCAAAATTCCTTTGTGCTTTTTTTCTGGTTCTATGACATCTTCTTGATCTTTCTGTATTTTTTCATATTTTTATTTCCATACCAATCTTTTTTAAAAGAACAAACAGAAAAAAGACAAGTTCTCATTTTGCAGGCATAAAATATGCTTATACTGAGATTGCGCTCGAGCCTCTCTGCCAAATTTGCAAATTAAAGTTCAAAATCATGAACTTCATTGCCTATTTTCAAATAGAATCACACACCTTTTCAAAATAAATAAAATATAGGAAAATCAAGATTATGCAGATCTTTCATCTACTAGAATTGAGAAAAAAATGGCATTATAATGAATGAGTGGTGGGGCAAGGAAGGTTGCTCCCACCAAAACGGTGCTTCTGGGTCACACCGCAAATGCGTTTTAAGTTTCAAGTCCCTCCCTGCGGGCCAGTTACACCAGCGAGCCTCCCACCAGGGGGACTTGTGTTAAGTTCGGTTTGCGATCGAATCAAACAGTACACTGGAGCTTTTCATCATGGCCATGTCGGCCTGTCAAAGTGAGTATCTGCTTTATCAACAACCAGCTGCCTGTTAGGGGGCAATTCTGTCTTGCGCGGCGCATGTCAATAGCTTCAAAAAAAGTATCGATGTAGGTTATGTTGACTACACTACAGGGGCACTCTTTTAAGGTTTGGCTTCGAAACAGTTGCAACGCTCAACTTAGCAAGTTTGCCAAAATTCTGGCAGAAACAATTCGAAACCTTTCACGAAAGTTCCATACAAAAACAGGACATGAAGGCACGCAAGAGTTTCGCATGAATCCAATTCGCATGGGATTGCGTAAATAATTCACCAGGACCATTAAGGTCCCCGACGTCCTCCCCTGCAGGCGCAGGTTGGGCAACTTACAACTCCGAAACGTTTTTCGCAAAACTGGGGAAATCCTGCGTCCGAGTTGATGCCCGCTCGAAAGGCATGCACACAGTAGTCACATCCAGATGGAACACTTTTGGTCGCTGTCAGAGCCTATTGAGATGGCTCGATGATAGTGAAGCAAGAAAGTGGGTTGAGTTATCCAGACCGGATCCAACGTCTTCGTCCACGATGACTTGCTGGGAGGGATCGGTGCTTCACAGAGCCTGCAAGGATGGACTACAAACAGACCCCCTGGGACAGAAATTGAGGACCACAATCATTGAACTTGAACGGGACAAGTCGAAGGCTATTATGTGAGCAATGTCCGCCTGCCTGGAACACCAATCAGCATCCTCAAGATGGCGAAGCGAGTCAACCCCACTGCACATGAGAGTATAACACCTACGTAGTACACTCGACATGCTTCCAAAGAACCTGAAAACATTAAACCTTAAGTGACTGGGAGACGCAGCACAGATAGCATGGCTTTCGATGGCGTTAAGTTGGTGTGCATACTCTAACAGACTGGTTGTCAACCTCGCAACTCTGGAACTCATGCGGATGGAGGGGCCGAACAATTTGTGTTCATATTTTCTTATCTGTGGGTATCACGAGTGTATTGGAGAGAGACTATTCATGAATTTAAAAGTTTAACTATTTTGAATCGATTTCATGGAAGATGGGGCAAGAGGTTATTGACTAGACAGTAAAAAACAACGGTTCCAAGAGGGTATACTTCGTATCGTGTCATGTGTGTACGGCTGGATACATGTCAGGGAGAGCCAATATGGAGAGATGAAAGAAACGATCAAGTGAGACCTTTGAGGGTCCCGCTCACCGACACAGTCTTGACGTCGAGGAACAAGACTTCGCCGGCACGATCAGCATCCTCCTTTCCAGCATCAAGAGTGCCATGGGTTTGTGGAGATGGAGCGGGTTGAGGTGAGGAGTGGGAGGCGGGGGGTTCGGAGCGGAAGAAGTGATGCAAGAGGTCGAAGCCCTCGACCGGCCTGATCGACTCATCAGCCGTCCCGATGGTCACATGATATCTGATCGACGTCGGGGCCGGATCGGTCGCCGAGTCTCCCGGAGATTGCGTGCGCACTCTCGCCTCCAAGATCATGACCCGGTTATTCCAGATGAGCTTGGGCCCAAGAAGGAGGCCGAAGGCGACCTTGCGCGCTAACACCCGGCCCTGGTACTCATCCCATAACCGCTTCATCTCCTCGCTTTCCTCCGTCTGGTTCTGGTGCACCAGAGTGAGATGGGGCGTCGCCGTTATCCGCCGGTTCTTGACTAGCTCCGTGAACATTTGGTGACCCGCCTTCTGGGTCGGCTCTTGCGGAGTCTGGCCAAAAGCCCCAAGGAGCTCGCCGACTAGCTTCCTCAGATCTACGTCCAGCTTCACCCCGAAGTAACGCGGAGACTGCAATGCGGCCTCGACTTTCATTTCTTTCTTAATCGAAGGCTTGTACGCTCGAGCGATCTCCAATGCATTCTTCATCTTGTGACTATCAATCCGGTCCTCCGGAGCCAGCAGACCGGGACAGATTTTGCTCAATTGAGCACACAAATCTTCGAGGTTATTTTCGATCGAGTCGGCAAATTTGAGTTGAATGATGTGGCGAAACGGCTGATCCTCTGGATTAATGTCCGGGTCGAACTCTTCGAGGGTTTTGAGGAATCTCCAGAGGATAGCATCGTGAGCTTCGAGTCCACCGGAGGTCAATTCAGGTCTCAAAGATTGATGGTTCTCTCCGCGTTGGACGATTCTCTGGGCGGCGATCTGGTGGAGTTCGCCGGACGAATGAGCCTCAAGGTCCCAGGTGACTGCCACCATTCTGACCTTCATCCGGACTAACTCGGTCTCCCGCGAGCCCTTCCCTTTGCCCTTCTTCACCTGGATCCCTTCCTTCAACTTGGCAATTAGTTCCACTAAGGCTGTTCGATGAGTCTTCAGATGATTGTTTTTATCGGCAATCACGAGGCTTGGTCCACTCTTGTCGAGCAATAAACTCTTCACATTCTCAATAAACGCTGGCCCCGTCTTTTTCGTCGTGATGTCATCGCTTTGGGTGTGCGAACAGTTGGTCAAATGTTTGAGTGCAATGGCCAGCGTCGTTTTGCCTGTTATGATTCCATAAATCAATTCATGTATTGATATCAGTATAAATTTCTTTAACCAAGTGTTATCAAGTAGACATACCGCATCCAGGAATCCCTATTGGCACCAGCAAAGTCTTATCATAGTCCTGATTTTCCTCGACCTGAGTTCCAGCTCCAGTAGACGGTTTCTGAGAAGCTGAAGAGCCCAATTGGTCGATGATTTTCAGAGCGTCTTGAGAATTGCGCCACTCAAAGAAGGCCTCCCTGGTGGCGACGATCCCACGGTTCTTCTGCCAAAGGTCGAATGTTTGGGGCCGGTTCAACAGCTCTTGGAGTACCCAATGGACATACAGTCTTGTCTCAGGTTTATGGATCTTTTTGACGTTCACCTTCAAGACTTTTGCGAGCTCTTCAGAGTCGGACAAGCTCAAATGTTTTTCACATTTCCCACAGGGGTGTTCTTTCAGCGCTTTCCCGGTTAGGCTCAACTCGTGTAGCATCTTTCGCGTCAGTTCACGCCATTCTCGATAGGTTAAATACGGTTCTTCAAATTTCACCTTCCAGAATATGGAGGTCGCTGCAGGATTAGGACCTGGGCTTGGTTGCTGATCTCGGGGAGTGCCTCTGACGACCACGCCTTCGATATGGCCCTGCCGGCCAGCCCATCCGTCGGTCTGGATCATCCGACAATGTTCCTTGACGGCTTCGATGTCGCTGACAGTCGTGAAAGGGGTGGGATGCATGCCCCATCTTTTGGCGCACTGTGCGACGATCTCGGGCGGGTAAGTGATGAGCTCGGGCGTGTTGAGATTGACACCGTGGAGGTTCAGGCCGACCTGGTCCGCTGGGGTGGCGATCACGTGTTCCTCGAAGTCGTCGTCGGTTAGCTCGGCGACCGCTGTCGCGTTGGCCTCCCACAGCTCTCGCGCCAGCTCGGCTCGGCTGAGGCCAACCTGGGCCAAATGGCGTTCGACCCATCGTTCACCGACGGCTGAATGGGTCATCGGTTCATCTTCCTCGTCTTCCTTTGACCCGCCCGTGGCGTGCTTCGAAGTGACAAGCAGGTCGCTAGGCGTCAGTGCGGCCAGGAAGATGATACATCCGTTCGTCTTGAGCGTCAGGTGATAAGGTGCTTGTGAACGATTCGCGAGAGCTTCCCACTATACGTACAGAATATGAAAGACCAAATGAGCGATCGGTGCCCCTATAAAAAAACCAAAAATGCTACAAAGAAGCGGATAAATACGGACCTTGGTAGAAGGAAGTTCGTCGATATTGAAGAATTTATCGTATCCACGTGCGACGATCGCATGACGACCTTGACCGAGTGCCCGATCGGGATGAAGATTTTCACGGGTAAACAGCCCCCGGGCCATGGTGGGGAAAGGGCAGGGTACACGCCGATAGACATGCTCGGTCATCGTCCAAGAGCGGACAGAAACGAGGGCATCGAGGTGAGATGAATGGATGTCGTATACCCGGGAGCGTACGAGTTTCTTGAGTTTGGGATCGTCCGGCTGGTTGCTGTCCCCTTGACCGGCCGACAGCTTCTCGAGTGCCACAGCCAGCTCATGCACGCTCAGTTCGATGATTTGAGTCCTGCTATCTCGGTTGTTGCTGTTGTTGTTCTGATTGCTGAGTCCGAAGTGGAGGAGTGTCTGGATGAGCAGGTCGGTCTGTTGAGAGATGGTTGGTTGGGATTGGAATTTTCTGAGTGGGGATGCACCGGTGGCCATCTTGGTCTGCTCTCACTCTGCTCATCTTCAAGACCCATTCAAGCCAGTGGACCAGGCCCTTGGAAGCGCATACACCCAAACACCTCACTTCACAAAACACACGGCATTGCCAACTGATCACCAAGAACACAAAGTTACAAGAACTTTGGATCAACCATCTCTTTTTTGACACATCGCTTTGCCAGAAGTTCAACCCAACAGCTTGCAGTCCAACTACAAGGCAAAGTGGTGTAAGATATAATGAGTTTTCAGAGACATGCAACAAAAATATAGGGCACATGCAACCTTTGAGATAACTACAACGGAGGATCTGTGCCATGGCCTTCCTTGGTGGATGCAATCCAACCAGTAGGGTACTTTTTCATTGATCAAACTTGATCTTAATGCACCCCATGTAACCCATTTGCACCCCATGTAACCCATTGAGACAGCACCATGTAGATCTTTCCCCATCATCCAGATCAGTTACAGCAGAAGAATTAACCAAATCAATGCCAAATCTCACAAGTCACAACCACTAAAAATGCCCCCAGAACTCCATTTCTTCAGAGACAACAATTTATGATTTCTGTTTCCTCAGGATACATTTTTTCTTGAACACCTATCAGGAAATCATTTCAATGAGAGATTTTAGCCTTCAGTCTAGTGATTAAGGTATGCTTGAAGCCCTTAAGATACCATCACCACACCAGAAAGGCTGAAGAATGTTGAGAAGAGATACATGACTTGAGAAAATACCACCCAAGTGTAATACATATATTGCCCAAAAATAGTTTCACATCCTCAATTTTATGCGCATTCATCCAAACCCAAGGTATACAAAATCAGGACACTCTTGTCTTCTTCTAAGCAAGATAAATTAATTTTTGCAATCAATTTTTGAGATTTTTATCATAATTTCCCTGTCCATTCTAATTTCTTGTTCCCCCTCCAATAAAATGCTTAAGAGCATTCCAAACTCCAATCACTCTGATGCTGTCAACCCTCCTGAGTCCTTTCCCTCCTCTCTGATTCCTGTTTCAATTTTTGATTACCTAAATTGATGAAAAACGGGGTTGATTGCAGAAACTAGAACCAGAACTAATAGAAAGCACAATTTTAGACATGAAATTAACAATGTTGAAGTTATAGAAAGAAACTTAGTGTAATGTAGTGAGAGTCTTGTTTTGCATTAGACAGAACAGGAAGACTTGAGTAGATAAGATCAAATAAAGTGAAGTAATAGAAACTAGAAGAATAGAAAAGAAAGCAATGAAACAAAAAGGTTAATATCAATTGATATGAGATGAGATGAAAGTCAACTAGTTTTCTCACCAAATTGGCAGAAGCCAAGTGATTGGATCAAGATATGAGGTTGGGGCAAGGAGTATGATGGATGGTTGAAGTGAGGACAAGATGAGTTGTAGTTGGTGTTGATGTGAGTGGATCAGGAGGGGAATGATTGAAGAAGGAAGAACCAAAGTTGGAGATCAAAGTGGGAGTGAATTTTTGGAGAAGGTTCACAAGGTTTTTTGAGGATAAATGTCCGAGTAGATTGAGGCAATTGTGCTGTCAAATTTGTAGTGGATGATTATTGGAATGTGGGAGACGGCTGAAGAAGATACATATTTGGAGGGGTATTTATATGTGTGAGAGGGTAGTGTTGGAATGGAGTTCATGAGAGATGGTCTAGGTTTCCTGAAGGTAGCAAAGTGTAGGCAGAGAGCATATAAATAAATGGAGTTGAGCAGAAGGTTCAAAGGAAATAACAAAATGAGAAACAAAATGAACCAAGCACAGAGAGGATAATGTGAATGCAAGCAGAATTCCAACATAAATAGCTTCATTTTTAGCCATGAAATTCAGGTAAGATACCTCTTTCATTTTCTTCAATGTCAAGATATCAGTGCACTTCCCCAAAATCTAAGCCACTTCTTAGCTGTCCTATAGGAAAAATTCATAGCATACTAGATTAATCCCATGTCTTTGTTTCTTATCTGGAAAGTATTCAAATCAGAGACACTTTTTCCACATATGAGCAAAATTCAAATGAGTTAACTTTGTACCCAGGGTCTGATCTCTGATATCTCAAGGAATATGGGTCCAGTTGCAAAAAAGCAGTACTCTGGCTTGTTTCTTAACTCCTGTCAACAGCCACACATGCTAAAAGGGATGGAAGAAAATCTTTGAAGATAGCTGATTGTTGGGCATTTGCTGCTCTTGAACAAGGTTTTTTTTGCTGATGAACAAACCTAATTTGCTTTGATGATCATGGGATTTTGCCTCTCAAGGGGAGCCTCCCAATAAACCTTTTTAACTGCTCTATGCTGAGGAAATGGAATTGACAAACTGAGGATTAATGAATGACTCAAGTTTGTATGAAGAACTCATCATCAGTCATGTGTCGCCGCCCGGTCCGGACCGTCCTCGGCAGACGGGTAAACGATTCCCTATGTTTTCTCTTTCGAAAATGGCATCAACTTTCATCGCAGTGTGCCATGCCGACCAACGTGACATCGCGTGCGTGAGCTGTTGTGTGATGCAACGATGTTGCTGTATATACCCCATAAGGACCCCATCATCATAAATATGTCATCGCCTGTTGTGATCGCGAAAAAAAAAATGCATACAATTCCGGATTCCCCGCTCCGACGGAAGATTGAGGGACTTGTCCGTTCATGTGATCAGGACCCAGGTGGCTCATGCCTGATCAAGAAATTACTGATTTAACTTCCCCATGCCCCACTCTTTCTGGAATGTACCCATTCACCCTCAACGAGGCTCCTCGGCCCTCGGAGTCGCCAGTTGTAAATGGGCGCGGCAGGAGGGGCGAGTTGAGGGACAAAGCTTTACGAGACTGACCTCGGCAGGTGCATCTTCGGTACTGTTCCAAAGCCAGATAAATCAAACGGCAACTGCCGGAGGGATCTCGTTGCAGCGTTTCCCTCGGTGATACACACACACACAAGCTTCTCAATCAAGTAAGCTTAACCGCTTCAGTCTGGCTCTCAACTGTGGCCGGTGAGCTTGACTCCTGGAGCACGATTGGCGATCGTGAACCTGCCCGCGCCTACTCCTGAATGCCAACTTGCATTGGAAAGTTGAGTGAGGGACTCCCCTCGGAGAAACTCTTAATCATTTGTATACCAATTCGTCTCCGTTTGGCTGCCCGTACATGCACAAGGCGTATGTACCGTGGCCTATCAGACAGTACCTCTAGGCACTGCTTGGAACTGAGGCTATTGACTTGTCCTTCTGTTCTGTTCTTTGTTCACAGCTTGTTCCCCAACAAATCTCGGTGAGAACCCTTGCAGACCAGCCGTCACGGTCAAATCTCTCACTATGCCTTCGGTACATGAGGTGTATGCCTTTTATATACCCTGACGATATATATACACCCATTGTATCATCTGATTTATATCGATGTGCTCAATCCACAAGCGTGTTCCGTCCAATCTGAGTTGAAAATAACCCTTTCTCCCCATCCTGAGATTCGCCAATTCTCTTCGCCTCTTCGCCTCTTCACCCTTGCTCACTCCAAACACTTACCGTCCGTTATTATCACGTCGAGAGAGCTCGGTCGAAAACGGCTTTCGTACATCAAAACCCCCTTGAACATTTCATTATCCCAATGTCAACCCGACTGTTCACCGAGGAACGCGATGTGATTTTGGACCCACTCAAGGCACACCGGTGTCGCTTGATCAAAGACAAAGAGGAGTTCGAGCCGATGACTCGAGCGAGTGAAATCATGTTGACTGCCGAGGAGCCCTCCATACGAACTGTAAGATTCGTTCGCTTAATTGCTTTGCGCCAACCGAACTTGATGAGCTGAAAACTCTTGGTCACACTCCATGCGCGATTCCATAGTACTTTTGTGCGAAAAGCGTTGTGACGGATTACATACGGAATCACCCCAATGATCCGCGTGGCTACAAGGAACTTGGCAAAGTTCACCTGTACAGTTGTGTGCCTGAGAATATCGACTTGGCAGAAGAAGCCTTCAAGAAAGTCCAATCACTGTCAGGTCAATTATCCCTACAGCTGCATTCAACGCGGAAGTCAATCTATGTGGATGCTGATTCCTGATATGCTGTTATTTTGGTTGAACAGGCAATATCGATGCAGAGGGATGGTACTTGTGGTCTATGTGCCATCGGATTCGCATGTTCGGTTGTGGTAGCACCAGTCAGCGGTCGGACGAAAGCAAAACGTCAACCCTTCAAAACGGAAAAAGATATCTTAGACTCACCGAAAAAGGGCTGAAGCTGGCCCTGAAACACTCCAACGGGTCGAACGTTTATCGTTTTGCGTTATCTGACTTTTACAGCTCTACGAACCGGCTGTCAAAAGCACTATCCACGCTTCAATCTGGTATCTCAGCCTCCCAACAAACCCAAGTAGATGCAGCGATCTTTCACCAACTTGGCCGATTTGGAATATCCTGTATAACCGGTTTACAGGAAAGAGGCCGACAGGATGGAGCGAAAGAGGTTGGCATGGGTGCATTGCAATATTACCGACAGGCAATCGAAATCGGGGGAAATGACACGGAAGAATGGAAGGCCGAGCTTGCTAATGCGGAGTTGATAGTGGATCAATTGGTTGAACAAACTGTTAGCCTCCTTGCTCGGTTGATCAGAACTTTTGAGCAGACTTCAAGCTCATCCTTGCTCGCTCTATTTCTTTGCCCAGTCCGACTTAGCAGACTTTTCCACCGAGCCAGACTTTAATCCATCAGGCCCTATCTCCTTGAAACGCTGGCTTACTGCCTCACCCGTATCCACTCAACAGGGTGATGACTCCTTGTCCCCAGAAGAAGCCGACGTTTCTGGACGATTATCGGACCCAATTTCGAAAGAATCGGCTGCGAACCTGACTGAGTTTCTCGATAGGATTGAAAATCAAGCCCAAACTTACCAGAACGGTGATCCGGATGGCTTGATCGAGAACTTCAGATGGCCTCACCCCCCGTCACGGTTAGGAGAGCCTCGCTTGCTATCTCACCAACCTGGTCCATCTGTAAGCCGAGAGTCTTACAAAAAAAAAAATTGCACGAATATCTTCATCGCTTTAGCCACCTGATTCCAATCATTGATCACAATTTCAGATGAATCCTTGCCGGAGGAATTGGGGCGATTCTGTGGGACCGACCAGCTTCCTCTCAGGCCCTACCTTCTGTCATTTGGCAGAGCGGAAATCGAACAACAGACCTTTACCTGATTCTTACAACTTGACGTCAAGGTATACTGTTGATGAATTCGACGAGGATGAACTTATTCCTTCACCGTCATGTACATGCTCCACTTGAAATAATCGTATATTTCCAAGCAGAGGTGCCCACAAGAGTTGTCAATTGTGTATTCTTCTCTTGAGGGTATCTTACTAATATCAAACCCTTGACGATTTCTCAACTTTAAATGTTGCTCAAAGTTCTTAAATTATTAGTTGTTGTTGTTTAAACGCATTTAACGATCATTCGCCAAAAAAAATACAGATTAGTCAAGTATCGAGTAAAAAGCTAAGATTTTAAAGTCTAGTAAAATGAACAATCTCTTCGAATTTTTGAGTATCACACTATCAAGCTTCCAATCGGAATGACCTTTTTAGAATACTACCGTATCTTTTTGCTTATACGAAGTTAACCTTTCCGACCACCAATATCGTGTTCATAAATATGTGAAAAGAGACTTTCTTCTGTTTATTTTCAAAGTGGTGTATGAAGCTAGTTCCACTCCCAACTGCTTTTAGTGTCTTCTCTCTGTGTTGATGAATTCACATTCCCCTTTTTTGTGGACAGTTCTGTGATTATACCCTTTACGACTTGTGGACCCATGGTAGGTATTTGAATTTAGCTAGTTGAAACTGATGTTCTATCGCCATCCACCCAGCTACAGAGGGTGACAAGACTCTTTAAAAGATTGTGGTTATTGAGGTAGCTTGACTGCACTAGCTGCATAATATGCTGCCAACCAGGAGGTGCACCCAGCGCCTCAAAACGTACCAGATCAATTGACATCGACGTCTTCATCTGTATCATATCAGACCACGTTTGGCGTTGTCTTTCAGCAAGATCTTGATTTCTTTTGCCCCAGATGATCATACATATCTCTGACTCCTGAGTTACAAAGTGACACATTTGTTTCCCTCACCATCTGGAAGCAAGTATGATTCGGGAATTAAATTCACGAGATGCTGATGGTAAATTAGCGACTGCATTAAGGAAGCAGCGGAACATGCAAATTGACAAAGGCTAGTATCAACGTGATTTTTATAGATGAACTTTCAATTATTCACCACGAGTTTGAATGCGTATTATGTTCAATTGTCAAAGCCAAAGAAATCTGCCGGATGATTGATCGGCTTTCGCTGAAGGGCTAGCAACTGCTCACATTCACCATCAGCAAGGGGCACCGTGCCCACACAATTTGTCTACAATCCCTCGGTACATAGAGACAGCAGGACCAACTGCGAACAGTTTAACCGAGACTAGACGAGATATGCAGCAAAGATAAGAAACTGGAAAAACAGATAGACAATGATCACCAGTCGTGCGACCAACCAACCAAAACAGCCAGCCAATCTGCGGGTGAGTATCCAGAAGATCTAATGCCCATTTGTCAATTCCGAATTCAAAGAAAAAAGAGCTTGTTTTCCTTGGGAGAACTTCATCTGAAGTCAATAGTCCAAGAGAGGAAAAATCAAGCAACAACTGAACCCACGCAACTTCAAAAAAAAAAAAAAGACTGCACCTGCATATCTTTCTTTAGAGACCAGGGGAGGCGATTGCTTCTCCAAAAACCTTTCAGACGAAAATCTTACGGTAAATTCAGGCCACCGACTACTGAGTGAAGATGACAACGGGTTTCTGGACGAGCTTGAGCTGGAAAGATCTCGGAACGCCTTGCACCACGACGCACCACTCACGCACTCTTCATTGGGGCCGGCGCCGGGTGAGTTTCCGGAGTCTGCGACGCTGGCTCGTGACCCTATCTTTATCGGCGGGCGTGGTTATATATCTGTGTTACCCCAATAGCCAGACGCCGAGCGAAGGGTTTTCAGCGACTTACCTGCCCCGAACACGTGCCCTACTCGAAAACTGGCGACACTCAGAAACACGTGACGGCCGCTGGCTCTCTGTTAACGATGGCCTCCAACCCAGCTTCACGACCGATCCGAGCGGGGTCAAGTTCCCTCCCGAGGTCTATCCCGCTCTGATGAATCCTTATCAGAGGGCCAACGCTACCTTTGTCTCCGTCGTCAGAGAGCGTGATCTCAGCGACTTGATGATAAGCATGCGGACCGTCGAGGATCGAATTAATCGGAAGTTTGGTGTCTGTGGATGATGTTTCTGTCACTTCTTCCAGCTTAAAATTCCAGGAAACTAAATTCAACTGATGCAAAACTCGACTCTCTTTCTCCCAATTTCATAGTACCCCTGGGTCTTCCTGGGTGAAGAGCCTTTCAGTCTAGATTTCAGACTGGCAATCAAATCGATGACCAGGTCCCAGGTTTTCTTCGGCCTCATCCCTCCCCGCCAACTGTCTTATCCTTCCCATGTGGACCGACCTCGAGCTACAAGGGTCCAAAAGACTATGGACAATGACTCTCAAAAGAGCAGGCATGAAGATAATCAGAGTCGCCGACATATTTCGCGCTTCCATTCAGGGTACGTTCATGTTCAAGTAATTGTTAATTGCTTCCCGGACAATGAAACAGATAAATACTCAGCCCAGGCTCATAAACGCGCTCTAGCTTCTTCTTTCGTCACCCGCTCATGTTGAAATTTGATTACTATTGGCGGGTCGAACCTGGGATTCAATACTATTGCGATGTGGACTATGATCCATTTGTATTTGTAAGTATCAAAGATAACTTCAAACGAGGATCAAGATGTCTGGAAGCAATAAGAAAAGAGAAGCGGAACTTGATTAATTTACTCTTTGGATGGTTGTCCAACTTCTGATGCAATATATTTCAAGATGGAGGAGAACAAGAAAGTGTATTCATTCTCAGTCTCTCTGATGGAGTACCAATCGACGATCCCGAGCCTTTGGAAAACCGTCCAAGGATTTGTGCGCGCCAATCCGGACCTCCTAGCTGCGAATAGTTCGATTGACTTTCTCCTCAAGGACCCATCTCAAGGGATCGAATCAGACTACAACCTGTGTCACTTCTGGTCGAACGTGTGTAATAGACACCTACTCTAACCGACTCATGTATCAGGATATGATGCTGATCAAGTCGGACATCGGTCTGGATGGGCGTCTTTCTCTGGGACGGACACAGTTTGAGGTAGGAGACATGCGTTTCTGGAGATCGAGCACCTATGCCAAGTTTTTTGCCCATCTCGATAGGGCCGGGGGGATTTACTATGAGCGATGGGCCGAGGGCCCGATCCATTCGATCGCCGCCGCACTCTTCCTCCGCCGGCAGCAGATTCATCAGTGGGACGACATCGGGTACTTCCAGACCCCCTTCTCTCACTGTCCTTCCGACTACGAACGCTTCCATTCAAACGGTAAGTGCTTCTGTGATCCGTTCGAAAACTTCGATCAGGACCCTTATAGCTGTGCTCCTTTGTGGTGGGAACTTGATAGGTCAGTTACATCCCATTCATCACTAATCGCAGGTTTAAATCACTCTTTGTATACAAACATTAATCAGTTTATTATGTGACTTGTTGGATCAACTTAGGAAGAAAATTAAGGACTCAAAAATCCAATCTAATCCATGAAAGCTTTGATAAGCTAGCACACACAAATTCACGCAAAAAAAAGAAGAAACAAAAGCATTTGGATTTTGAATTTATCTCACCTGTAACTTTAATCAAATTTTATGAAACAACATGCATGTCCAGATTGCCACTATCCTTTTGAGCAAATTCTTGCAGGAATTTTAGCTTGAAAAATTGGTATAACTTGATTGATGGCTGTAAGGACTTGTTGGTCCTTCACTATATCTTTATGGAAATGTACTCAGAGTTGGCTGAGGAAGACAGTTCTAGAACCAATGTATCTTGGAATTTCTAGCTCATCAGAAGAGAATGAAAAGTTGAGTTTCTCTGTTAGTACAAGCTGATTTGAATTTTGATCACAATAAAAGAAATGAAGAGAAAAAGGAGAAAACAAAGAAAGATAATGAAAAGACAAAACAAGATCCGTAAATAGGAGGTGGTCAAGGCTTACCTAGCTCAGCAGAAGAGAATGAAAAGTCAAGTCTCTGCTCAGCTAGGAGGGGGGAAGGGCAATGAACCTGAAGTAGTTGGTGTGTTCTTGATTATGTAATACTTTTTGTGAAACCTGTGCAGCGGGGTTTTGCAATGGCCATCACACAGGATGGTGATTAGTAATCAATCCCCCAGGGATTATACAACCATAAAAATAGGGCATTGGTTAAACAACTCCCATGGGTTGGAGTTCCAACTCACAAAAACTGGGAAATTTCCACCAGACCAACAGTGGCTCAGCTAAGCTATACACTATAGTTAGTGATAGTGATGCAAAGCACAGAAGATTAATACTGTTAACACTATAGATATTTTCCTTTAGCTGTTGGTGGTATAACACCAACACTGGCCAAGATTAACTAAGTGTCTTGTGGTGAGAGTGCCATGTGGGCAGGTCTGGGCTCTCACCAGAGTGTGAAACCTCTCTCCAAAGGTTTCACAAGAAAATCACAGACTCATAAATTCCACTGCTTCATGAAACACTTGCTACCTCACCCCCTTCCTTTCTCAGCAGAGACTCAATCAACTTCATACTTTGCTGAGCTAGGTAAGCTACTCATCATTTCACTCCCATATTGCTTTCTTTCTTTATTCTTTATTCTCTATTCTCTATTATTTCTTTTCTATATTATTTCTTTCACAATTCATAGACCAAACAATGTACTGAATAGACAGACTCAATCAACTTCATACTTATCTGAGCTAGAAATAAACACACTTTGGTGTTGAATTTTAAATTGGAGAAGGGACAATTTGGCAAGGCTGAAAGCAGAAAAGGGCTGAGTATAATTAACCTAGAACTTAATGGAAGAGGCTAAAGTGTCTTCAAATGAAAAGTGCAGTCAGAACTGATCATTTTTTTATTCTCATGTATCTAGTGGCTCAAATAAACTAATTACATGATGTTTGAGTTGTGGGAGAAAAATCACAAGCACAGTGAATAATAAAAAAAATCAAGTGATTTACCCCTTACACAGAGAGGCTTACATAATATCACTCAAAGTTGGCATGAGCAACAGTGGGCCAATACTTTATGTTAAAATATTTGGCCCCATATATGTAATGCATTGGCCAACTTTTTCTAATATTTTTTGTTATTTTAATTATCAAAAAGGTATCAAAATTTCAATATGTTTTGATGTTTTGCAATGTGATGCAGGCTGCATCAACCAAAAGCAGCCTGTATTGGCAGTCATGGAGGGCTTACAGACACAGTGAATAATATAAAAACATCAAGTGATTCACCCCTTACACAGAGAGGCTTACATAATATCACTCAAAGTTGGCATGAGCAAGAGTGGGCCAATACTTTATGTTAAAATATTTGGCCCCATATATGTAATGCATTGGCCAACTTTTTCTAATATCTTGTGTTGTGCGTTGATAATTGCACGCCTCCCCTCTCCCCGCCCGCCCACGCCCCCGCCCCTCCAAAAGGGGTGTGCAATCAAACCCGCCCCTCAGGGAGGGGCGGGTTTGATTGCACGCCCCTCGGAATCCTGTTTTCCCTCGGTGTCAGCCTACGTGATGCCAAGATATAAAATCTTCTAGCTACACGTGGTGCAAAAGCAAGCAAAAAACTTAAAGGTTTTTGGTATTAATTTTAAAGGAATAAATTCCAATAAAAAGAAAGGAATTTATGGGAATTTTTAGGAAAAAGTGGCCAATTTATATTAATAAAATTAATATAAATTAAACCTGAGGGGCCTGATAAATCAGGGGTGGTTAGATCCCTCAAAGGTATCGTGCAGAAAGCAGAGGATTTAGGTACCTGGTACACTGGGGCCTGTAAACAGGGGTGGTTTAAATCCCAGTAAGAAATGATGGGGAAAATCTCAAGAAAAGGGTTATTACTCACTAGTAATAATCCTGTAGGGTCTTGAGGATCTTCAGAGTAGAAACTGGGAAGTTGGAGGCGCTCAAAAAGGTGTAATTTGGGTGCTGGGTGATCACTGGGGAGTTTCTTGAGGGTTCTTGAGGCTTAATAACAGCAATTTATAGTAGTAACTAGGCTAATTACAAGTGTAGGGGACTTGTAAATGGTAAGTAAATTTCTATATGGTATTCTAAAGCTGGGGGATCATTATTTGAGCGGTCAGAAGGCCCTTTAAATACATGTGGAAGGCCTCAGGGGCTGCTCAGGGCAGCTTAGTAGGTCTTGGGAGCGCTTTTGGGCCCATTTTAGCCCACATGGTGACGCAACAAGGGCTGAACCCTTGGGGAAAATATTCTAGAAGCTCCAAGGGGTCATGCACAAATTTATTTGAACCAAGAATATCCCTTAGGAGCCTGTGGGTAGGGGCAAGTCTGTTACGTGGAGCTATTTCCTTGGAAATGGACCACAGAATATGCCAGAACTGGTTTCTGGGGCTTGTTACACGTGCTACAAACTGGAAGATGAAATATCCAGAGTTACTGTAGTATATTCATGAATATTCTAGCTTGTTTATATTTTTATTACACGTGTGGGGGCTTTGTTGACACGTGCACAGTGAGTTTCTGGGGCTTTGTGGCCCATTTCCTTCAATACTGGTAACCCAGAGGGGGTTATGCATGTATCCAAGGCGGGTAGGCATACCTAGCACACGCGGGGGCTTGAGCCCTGGGCTCAATTGTAGTCAGGCGCGCCTGTCAACAGTGCGCAGCATGACTACGCGGCGCGCGGGCTTGGAGACAGTACATGCCACGCTGGTCTATCTTCCAAACTATACACAACACTCCAAATCTGAGACAAGATTTGGAGTATATGCATATTGTTATGTACAATGCATAATTATTCAGGTGCCTGTGATCCATGGGTACCTGTTAATTCTTTAAGTGAGTATTACAGGATGAAGGAGTTACAATTAGGGGTACCTTTGGCTGAGGTACCCTAGGTTAAATTGTATGTAGATTCAGAATTTGTAATAATAATTAAAGTTTTCTCTATTCTTTCTAAGTTATTTATATATTTTTAAGTGTTTTTATATTGTTTACATAAGTAAATTAGTTTCTTTTACTTATGTAATATTTTTACTTTATTCTTAGATTTTTTATGTAATTTTATTATTTTATTTTGCTATGACAGGTTGTATCTGCCATAGTAGCAAGCTGACACTCGGAAACAGCCTTCCAAGGGGCGGGCATACAAACCCGCCCCTCCTGACACCATAATTGGGAGGTGAAGGGAGAATAAAGTTCTCCCTTCACCCAACATGTTTTCCCTCCCGGCTGGGAGGGGTACAGGACCAGTCTTGGTGGCCGGGAGGGATTCCTCTCGGCCGTGGACACTGTACAGTCTCAACAGCCGGGAGGAATCCCTCTCGGCCACCAAGACTGAACAGTCTCAACGGCTGATGTGGTAGCTGAATGTGTAAAAATTCAAAGTTTTTTATTATTTTTTTATCCCTATTTTTTCCTCTGCATACACTCACAAGTCACTCAATATGGCTCAAGAAATGGATTCTACACTCAATTTCACCCTTGGTCACCACTGGAGGCGTCACTGGAACTCAACTGGATTGGAAGTTACACCCTCTGGACTCTCACACTACTCACTTACACACACCAACAACTTGTCATCACAAGGAATCACCACCAACACATCAACAATTACATATTACACATGCAGTGTGGTCTGAACCACTCAGGATTTACAAGTGACATCATGCAGGTTGTCATGTCATTTGTTATTCTTCCTTGCAGCTGTCACACTATCTCACACCACTCATGTAATCTTCATCACCCCATCTTAGTTTGCAGACTAGTACAATCACCTCATGTAGCATGCTACACCAGCATAAAACCCTCATGTAGACTTCTAGTTCAGGCTAAAATGACTCTTATGACATCATGTAGGTTGCTCAACCAGCCAAAATACCTCCTCTACATGTCCTGACTAGCTAAATCCCCTCATTGTAAAGCTCTGGCCAGCTAAAATCTCTCATTCTCTTGCTCCCTTGGAGCCAAAATACCTCATTGTTGTCTATTTAAGGAGGCTCTCCTCCCAGTTGTTTTTCCCCTCAGTTTAGTACCCACAAATCACATACCCCCTACCATTACATAACATACCCTTAACATTACATACTGTAACAACCCTTACAAACACCCTATAACAACCCTTACACTTGTAATACACACTAAACTCACTCTCATACTCTCAAAACCTCTTCTCTCATACAATTATATTGCGATCAAACAACTTATTCTCAAACCAACCACCCCTATCACTTGATTAAAACTTGCCAAGATGAGCTTGGTGGGTCTTGTTATCTGATAGTACAGAAGGGCAGAGCTTGCAACTCCACCATACCCTTCAACATTCAGCAAAAGGGTTCTCACAACCACTTTTGAGTCTTACACCAAGAGGAATTCCTCTTGGCCACCAAGACTGTACAGTCTCAACAGCCCGGAGGGATTCCTCTCGGCTGTTGAGACTGTACAGTCTTGGTGGCCTAGAGGAATCCCTCCCGGCTGTTGAGACTGTACAGTCTTGGTGGCCGAGAGGGATTCCTCTCAGCCGTTGAGACTGTTCAGTCTCGGTGGCCGAGAGGGATTCC